TTTGTGTTTGGTATTATTTTGTATTTCTCAAGTTACCTAGAACATTGTCAAACTTGCTTCATACTGATTCTCAGTGCACTACCGCAGTCCCTTCAGAGCTTTTGGAAATCTGTGGGGCCATGTCCATGTGTCATGACTAGCCAGCACCTTTGGCATTTAACAAAAAACAAGAGCCAGGAATGTTGTACTTCTGTACATTTCCTGTGGGACCATCCTGTATGGTACAGATGTGCCCTGCCAAAAATGTCAGTAGCATCTTTGTAGAGAAGCAGGATTCTAATAGACAGTACTTTGTTTTCCCAGTTTTACTTTGAATTCAGTATTAAATGACTGGTAAATTTTTAGTCATTTGTTAGATCCTGAAAAAGAAAGTCTCTCCATGAAGGAATTCCTAGTTTTCTACTAGAAAAGTTAGACTTTGCTCAAAAGTAGAAATTTCTCTAATATGGGCAACTGGTGAGTAACAGCTTTTCTTTGAGCCTGTGAGACTTTGATATTTGCCTTATTTTGGGAACCATGAGAGAAGACTGCTGACAAAAGGCCTGGCAAAGTCTAAGATGGTATGACTTGAAGATAGTTTAGTGCTGTTAGAAATGCAGCTAGTATGTGACAGGCATGCTGAGCTTCCACCCCAGAGTCTGATTTAATGGGTAGTAGAGTGTGACTGGGAATCTCCTTTTGTAGTCAATAGAGTAGTCTCCCCTCTTTTTGAGGTTTCTGTTACCCTTGGCCGGCTCTGATTTAAAAAAATTACATGGAAACAGAAATGAAGTGATTTCAGTTTTAAATTGTGGGCTATCCCAACTAGCCTGATGAGTCTCTGGCCAGCAAGCTGCATAATGTCCAGGATGTGAGTCATCTTTCTGTCCAGCTTAACCATACTGCATGTGCTACTCATCTACTGATCACTTGGTATCCATCCCAGTTATCAGAATACCTGTTTGCAGTATCATGAAGTTTATGGTCACATAACCCTTACATAGATGCTGTTACACAACAGCCTCATGTTATTCACCATCTCATCACATAGACATTGTATTTCTTACCCTCCCAAGAGTTAAGTATAGTGCACATAATATTTTGAGAGAGACCGTACTCACAAAGCTTTTACCACAGGATATTATAATTGTTCTGTTTTATTCATTTTAATCTTACTGTACATAAATTAAACTTTATCATAGGTATGTGTGTATAGGGAAAAAGCCATATATTTGTGTTTGTGTGGTTTTAGGGATCTACTTGGAGTGTTGGAATACATTCCCCAAGTATAAGGGTGAATAACTCTAGGTCATAGGTTATTTACAGATTATGGTTTGCTATAGGTCCAATCATCAAGCAGAAAATGTATTTATAAACTTTAGAAAATTTACCCATTAATGGTACACAGAACAATGTTTCTTAAGCTTTTGTGCTCACATGTGTAACAAATAAAAATCTGCTACTGTTTCTTACTGTTCTGTTTCATTTTCCATTCATAAATTCTGTGTTGACTTTATGACCCACTAATGGGTCATTTCAGTTTGAAAAGCATTGGTTTAGACTTTAATACAGCTATTCTCACTTCTGCAAACATCAGAATAACTGGACTGTTCATGGCTTCACTTCCAAACCTGATAGAGCAGGTCTGGGATGGTACCTCAGAATTAGCCGTCCCCCTCCTCCTCTTCCTTCTTTCCTCCTCTTTCCTCCTTCTCTTATTTCTTTTGTCTTTTGTGGTCGTGGGAATTTGTTGCTCTCATCTCATGGCAACGTGAAGAGCATGCTATAGCTGAGGTACATCCTAAGCCTCCAGTTGTGTTGGGTTTTGAATTCTAGGACCTTGGTTGAGAAGCTAGGTGAATTGTACCTTCACTTAGCCACATATTATATGTAATCAACATTTGTGTTTATCATAGAAACTCCATTGGAATGATGGCTCTACATTATAGTGGGTAGACCAATTGATGGTAATAAAAGTGAAACATTTAGGCCTGAAGAGATGGCTCAAGGATTAAGAGCACTGTCTGCCCTTGCAGAGGACCTGGGTTTGGTTGCCAGCACACCCACATGTTGGCTAACAACTGTCTATAACTCCAGTTCCAGAGAATCTGACACCCTTTTCTGGACTCCAGGCATTGTACACATGGTACACTTACATGCGGACAGAACACTCGAGCATATAAATTGAAAATAAAGACTTTTTAGAAGGTGAAACATTGAATTTAGAAAAGTGACAGGGGCTAGAGAAATGACTCCATAGTTAAGACAACTTACTGTTCTTGCAGAATACCTGTGTTTGGTTCCCAGCACCCAGTTCTAGGGGGATCAACACCCTCTCCTGGCCTCTGTGAGCACTTGAACACATGTGGCTTACATACACATACACACACACACACACACACACACACACACACACACACACACCAATATGAAAATTTTTTGTTGTTGTTTTTTGATACCAGGTCTTACTGGAGAGGCTGACTGGCCTGGAACTCCCTTTGTAGATTAGACTGGCCTTGGAACCACAGAGATAGACCTGTGTCTGCTTCCTGAGTGCTGGGATTAAAAGCCTGTGCCACCATGTCCTGCCAAAACAAATCTTTTTTATTTTTTAAGTGTGATGGGTTGGGAGTGTGACCCTGTGCTATCACAGATCCTTGGGAACTAGATTCAATCCTTAGCAGCATCCCTTCAATTAGAAAATTTGACTTAAGGGGCCGGAGAGATGGCTCAGCAGTTAAGAACACTTGACTGTTCTTGCAGAAGACCCAGGTTCGATTCCCAGCACCCACATGGCAGCTAACAACTGTCCATAACTGTCCCCTGTTCCAGGGGATCCAACAGCCTCTTCTGTCCTCTGAAGGCATTGTACGACACGGGTGCACTTATCTATGTGCAGGCAATACAAGCATACACATAAAATAAAAATAAGGTTTTTTTTAAAGAAAATTTGGCTTAAAAAGCAGTTTCCTAAAGCATTAGGAGTACTTTTTCCCCATCTTGAATTTTAAAAAATTTATTTCAGAGAGAGAGAGAGAGAGAGAGAGAGAGAGAGAGAGAGAGAGAGAGAATAACTTGGGGGAGTTGGTGTTCTTTTTTTCTACCTATGTAAATTCTAGGGATCCAACTCAGATCATTAGATTTGGTGGCAAGTGCCTTTACCCACTGAACCATCTCACCAGTCCTCCATTTTGATTTTTGACACAAGAAACTACATTTTGTTTTTGGTTTGAAAAAGGGAAATAGCTATAGGAGGTTTAGGGTGAAAAAGCATATCTGAGAAACTTAACCATATACTCATCATAATGTGTCTTTGTCATGAAATAGCCTGTTTTGACATGTGATGTGCTTTTTAGCCTACTTGACAGGTAGAGATACAATTTGGACTGTTAGAAAGTATTTAGAAAGTAATACCTTGTTGCTACAGGAAGAAAATTAAGTATAGGAGTTATAGAAACCCATTTTATTAGCTGGGGGTGAGTTTTAGAAATAATCTAAATCACTTTTTCTTCATTTTAGATAGGGAAAATGCTTAAAGTTCAAAGATTTATTCACATTAGTAGAGAAATCAGGATTAACTTGCTTCCCAACTCTTGGTGTAATGCTCTATTACACAATCAGTGCCACTACTACAGTAGTAATACAACTGATGCTTATTGATCACTGACTTTAAACTCTGAGGACTGTAAGTACAGGTTCCTTATTCAAGCATAGATTTAGGCCTGTCTAGATGTTAGTCTTATTAGGGAAATAATTTTACTTTGCAGTTGGCTTTTAGTTTACTCTTTAAGCTATTTAAAAAGTGCTGGAATTGTTACTAGCATACAGTCATAAATCTAGATTGTCTGGAAGGTTAAAGGGAAGAGATTTTTAAATCTCTGAATATGGGAAAGGGAGCCCCTGAAAGGATCTTGCAGAAGACTCTTGAGTTAGGCAACATCCCCAAAAGCAGGTCCTGGAGTTAAAAACGAAGTATGCATAGATCCTCGTGTGTACAATGACCAAATTGTTTCATTTGCATTTTCAAGGAACAACTCAACTTTCTGGTTAATTTCTTGCAGGGTTGAGGCTCTAAATTAAACATTAAATCTGGTAGAAAGGAAATATGTTAAGGAAAAGATGAAGTAGTTGGAAGTATTTTCTTTTCCTCATCTCCCCCCACTATCCCATCAAGAACTCATCCTATGGTAAAATGAAAAAATACAGATGGAGTATCCCTAATCTTAAAGCCTTGTGATTGTGGAATACGTGTATATATACATTGAAGTTCATTTTTTTCATACATACTTAATATGCATTGTAAGTAATTTCATACAATTAATAATTTTATGCATAAAATAAAATTTCACTGTATGGAATTTCCCACTTGTGATATCATGCCAACACTCAAAAGGTTACAGATTTTAGAGCATTTCAGACTTTGTATTTTTGGGTTAGGTATGCCCAACCTATAGAAGTGGCTAAGCAGAAAGTCTGGCATTATGGAAGACGGGAAATTCCAAGAGGTGAAGAGAAAGGGAAGACTTAGGCTAGTAGGCATGGCATCACTAGAATTAGTCAGATGGAAAGAAAGTTGGTCTGTTTTCATTGGAAGATTGTCTGTTTCTCATCTAAGAAGAGATGAATTTTTGTTCCGTATACTGCTAAGAGGCAGAGAATTTGTAGTGAGCAGCTCCGTTTTATAAAAATAATTTAACTGATGGTTTGATATTATAAAAGCTAATCTTTGATTATTAAAATATTGCTTATGGGAAACTTTGTTAAATAGTATCTGCCACTTAAGGAATTATTGTAGAAAGTTTGTTGAAAAAAAGTTCTTTAGTATGCTAAAGTAGCAAAGATGAGATTTGATTAAGTTTTGTTTTCATTGTATGAAACTTGGGTAAGAATTAAAAACTGGCTGTATTTTTTTATGGTTGTATCATTTGTTAAAATGGAAGAATTTGCAAACATCAAATGTTTTGTCCGTGTGTTCAGAGTTACTTTTAACTTTGAGAAATGCTTCATGTCCTTTATCTTAGTTATGGGAGAATAAATTGATGCAGTCCAGGGCAGTAGATGGATTTCATTCAGAAGAGCAGCAGCTTTTACTGCAAGTTCAGCAGCAGCATCAACCCCAGCAGCAGCATCACCACCACCACCACCACCAGCAAGCTCAACCTCAGCAAACAGTACCTCAGCAGGCACAGACTCAACAGGTCCTTCTTCCTGCATCACAGCAAGGCAAGACGGGCTGCTTTGTGTTCCTGTTGTGACTTAGAGTTACATTTGTCTTTTGAAATTATTCCTTTTACTTTTGAGTTTCTTGACACATCCTTTTTAAGTGGTACTTCTTGGGATGAGCAGGAGACTACACTGCTTATTTTTTTTTCTTCTATGTTGACAGAATTTGTGTGTGCATACGTGCCTATGCTCATGTGCATAGGTGCCCATGGAGGCCAGAGCTAGAGTTTCAGGTGTTGTGAGCTGCCTGATACAGGTGCTGGGATCTGAACCTGGGCCCCCTGCAAGAGCAGTAAGCACTTTCTAACTGCTGCGACACCTCTCCAGCCTTGCCAGTTAAATTATTTTGAAAAGGCTAATCTATATGAGCTTTATTTATGAAGGTCTTCATTGTTTCATAGAATAAGGTAGTTCTTTTTTTGTTGTTGTTGTTGTTGTTGTTGTTGTTTTTGAGTCAGGGTCTTCATGTAGCTCCAGTCAGCTGGCTTGGAACTCGCTATGTAGACCAGGCTAGCTTCAGTTTCACAGAAATCTTCCTGCCTTTGCCTCCCCAGTGCTCGCATTAAAGGCATGTGTCACCACTCCTGGCTTCTTTATGAAACATGTTTCTTCAAGGACATCTTTCTTTTTTTTTTTCTTTAGCTTTTACAGAAACTTTATTGAGAATTTCAGACATGCATATAAGGTGTTCTGATCAAATCCATGCCCACTCCCTCCCCTCCAGCATTCCCCTCTCTGAAGAGGTAACCCTAAAATCTTTTAAGGATTAGATAAAAGCTCCAAAATACTTTCAACATTTTTGGCTTTTGGAACAGAGTATGTTGCTAAGAGGCCCAAGAACATTTTGACTTTTATGAGTTTTAGTGAAGAAACTGGCTACTTTTATTTGGGGTCTTTTCATCCTAACTGCCTAGCCAATTCCTACCTCCTATTCTTATCACACCATCCTCTGAAGGGATTACCCAAATTGCCAATAGGGAATCGGGACGTAGACCTCTCTGGCGTCTTCCATGCTGAACGGGGACGCAGGGCGAGGCAGTTGGAATACCCTTCAGTGGGTCTTACCTAAAAGATTCCCAAATTTCATAACTCTTATCTCTAAGGGGAAAAGAAACATCTTTTAAAAATCTGTATACCTTAAACACTAGGGAAATTTTGTAACTCTGGTATTCTAGAAATTCAGTACAGTTTCAAGTGGAAAATGAATATAAAACATTTCAAAAGCTTGACTTAAAAAAAAAGCAAATTTTTTTTTTGTTCATAGTTCTTTGTAATATGCAAATCATTTTATAGATAACTATTTCATTAACCTCTTGTGAGGGATTGCAAAATAACGCTTGACTCCATTTTACAGCTAAAGAAAATCTGGGCCTTTGCTCCATTACCTATAGCAATTTTTTTTTTTTCCATGACAAACCTCTTTAATTATAAAATTTCGTGAGAATTGTAATCAAATGAATCTTGATTGTTACTGGGGAGGAAGTGAAGATAAAACTTATCTTCAGGTAACCATGTAGTAACTCATTTGTTTCATCTGAGAGAGTATATGAAATATAAAATGGGTAGAGAGAGATGTATAGTAGAAAGTTCTGTTTGATCTGGTTTACTGTTTATCTATTAGACTTTAGAACTTACTTTGTAATATTAGATTGATTTTTGTATTGTGGAGGGGTGGTGTACCATAGTATACAGGTGGAGGCCAGAGGATGACTTGCTGAGTCTGTCTCCTTCCACCATTTACATCCCAGCAATCAAATTCTGGTCTTTAGGTTTGGCAGCAAAGGCCTTTACCTACTGAGCCATCTTGTCACTACCTATTTTCAGTCTGTACCTTTATCAAATAAGCTCACCTTTTTTGTTTTTGATGACTGTTCCTCCTATTGCCTTTAGGCATGGCACTAGGATTTTAGGTCATCATAAATTAAAATTGGATTTTCTTCACTCAGAGAATGTTAGGATAATGGGATTATCTGTATATTCTCTGAAATTTGCGGGATCAAACAGCTTTTATGTTGAAGGAACATTGCCATTGTTTTTGATTTGTGTATGTGTGTTTGTGGTGTATAAGGGTAAGTATCCATGCACATGCAAATGTGGCCACTCCTGTGCTGTGGTGCATGTATGGGGGTCAGAGGACAACCACAAACGTTGACACCTTTCACCTTGTTTGAGACAGACTGTTGTTTTCCTCTGCATACGCCAGGCTGACTGGTTCCTGAGCTCCTGGGATTCACTTTCTGCCTCTGTCTCCCCTGTAGGAGCAGAGGGAGGACAAGGGCTTGTGCTGTGCACTTGGCTTTTTTCTTTTTGCCTGGGCTCTGAAGATTCAAACTCTGGTCCTCATGCTTGCATGGCAAGCAATCTTGGCCACTGCGTTGTCTCCCCAGCCTTCCTTTCTATTTTTTAAGTAGTTTATTAAAGGACAATCATGATAGAAACTGTCGAGTTGGTAGAAAAGAACAATGCACATTTAAAGTGGAGTTTTGACTTTCTAAATTTACTTTTTTAAAAAAAATGCTCAGTTTTTAAAGAGTGTATTGCCTGCATGTTACGTGCACCCATACTGTGCAGTGCCCATGGAGGTCAGAAGAAGGCATTGGATCCACTGGAACTGGAGTTATACATGGTTGCTAGCTGCCATGTCGTTTCTGGGAGTTGAACCTAGGTCCTTACAAGAGCAGCCAGTGCTCTTAAATGCTGAGCCATCTCTTCAGCCCCCTAAATTTGCTCCTAACAGATTAAGTAACTCATTTTTAATAGCACTGTATTACATCATATGAATAAAACAGTTGATGTTGAATTAGGTAAGGAAAGATTAAATTATGTTTGAAAATTCTTGCTTATCTAGAAATGTACAGAAATGTATGTGATTAACTGTTAGATATCGATCTCAACATTTCATGTTCTTAAATTCCCTTATATGTGTAGATACTGTCTTTTTTCTTTTTAGGTATTGTTATTTTTAGTCATGTTTTTCAGTGTAGGATGGGTGTATCACAGCTGTTGATTTCCATGGAAATTATAAACAACCAATGAAATGCCAAATAATTTGAGAGTATTTTAATGTATAAAATGTAATAGAACATGGGGGGCAAAGAATTCTGTATTAAAGCATTCTTGGACTGAAATAACCTCATGCTTCCTTGTTTGCAAATGAGTTTTTTTTTCTTTGTATTTTGTAGCCGCAGCACCACAAGTTATTGTTCCTGATTCTAAGTTGATACAGCACATGAATGCGTCAAGCATTACGGTGAGACTTGGAACATGACGCTTACTTACTCTAATCCAAAATTGGGATTATGCCTGTGTTGTTTTATTTAACAACTCGAGGACTGTTGAACAAAACAGGTGTTTTTTTTTTATAACTACAAATCTAAAATGTAGCTTAATACTAGATGTTATAGCTCATAAAATTACGCATTTTTTTTCTTTAAAAATGCCAGATTCTCTTTTGTGTGAAATATTTCATGGCATAGGGAGCCAGTCAAACCTGGGTTGCCACACATAGTTCTGCCTCAGATCTGCATGTTGTAAGAAGACAGGAATACTAAGCCTTATAAACTTAAAGACTCTGCTCTAATTCAAACATAGCATAGTCTCTTACCAAAATCTATAAAGTGATACTTGTGCAATTGAATTATAGTAAAATTTTGATGTTGCTCAAGAAGAGAGGCACACTGAGTATCACAAGTTCTTAAACTTTCAAATTATGCTTAGGACATAGAGTATTTCTCATCAAATGCAGCAGAGTTTGTAACTACAAAAGTTAAAGAAGCCCTTCAGATTCTTAAAATATCTTTACCTACCTCTTTTAATGCTAGAAGAAAACATTAAAGCACAGTTCAATTAATTATTCAGTACTTTGTCAAAAATGGATTTTCTTTATTTTGCTTAAACTGTATAAGCTATAAAAATCATAGGATGGTGCCACAGCTCTCATATTTCATTCTTATATTCAACCAAAGTGTTTATCTAAAGGTAAAAATGTGATTCTAAAAATCATCTTTTAGCCTGTGTAAGTAGTCCTAAGCAGTGAGTAAATACTGCTCTTTTTCTTTTCAATAAAGAGCAGTATTTTAAAAATCATTTTGACTTTCAGTGGCAAATAGTTAACCACAAATGTTCACAAACATGATTTAGAAGTCAAATAGGAAGCAGGACTAACCTGGTAGACAGATGAGGACTCCTGCATGCTGTCAACCTGGGATGCTTGTGAGAGCATTGTACACTTCTGTATAGTAGTAAGAATTGCAGGTTTTAAATTCACAAATACGAAGAATCTCCATTTGTATTTCCAGTTACATGAAAAGCCAAAAAATTCCATTCCTCATAAGAATTTTTATTAAAACAATTGCTGTCTTACAGTGCTTAATTCTAGTTCTAATTTTTCTAATGGCTCTAATTCCATTGTGTGTGTGTGTGTGTGTGTGTGTGTGTGTGTCTTTGTCTTTGTGTGTGTGTCTTTGAATAGGGTCTCCCTGTAGCCCCAGCTGGCCTGGAACTCACAGTGTAGACTAGACTAGCCTTGATCTCCTGAGGACAGGGATTAAAGTGTGTGAGTCACCATGCCTGGCACAAAATAATCTTTTTATTAACCACAATTAAAATACCTCTTAAATTGAAAATGTAGCTCAGTGGTAGACATTAGTAGTATATTTGACAGGTTGGATTCAATCCTCCAGCACTGTCAGAGCTCTGTCACAATGGTCCACATTGCAGTTAGCGCTGTTAAGGCGTTTTTTGCCGGGAGTGTTGATGCCTGTAATACCAGCACTCAGGAAGCTGAGGCAGGATTGTGACTTAGAAGACAGCAAGAGCAGGGCACTATCATTGAAGAAATGAAAATTGTTTTCCTAGAAAATAATTTATCACTTTAAAACAAATTTTGGAAGAATCATCTGGGGTAGGCCCTCCTAATTTTGAAGAGTTAGGTTTGTGGGAGACAGTTGCTTCCAACAATGGAATAAGATGGTAAAAGTGCTTTTGATTTCTTTTTTTGATGCAAGGTCTCACTGTTTAGCCCAGACTGGTTGCTTCTCCAGCTTCCTGCCTTTTGCTGTCCTACAGTGCCTAAATCTAGTTCTGATTTTTCTAATGGCTCTGTGTGCTTTTTTTTAAATGAATATATTGAAAAATCAGAAAAAAAAATCGAGGATAGCAATATTAGGCAGAAGGTCTTTTTTTTTTCTTCTTCTTCTTTTTTGAGAGAAGGATCTTATTTAGGCCAGACTGCCTTCAAACTTCTGTCCCCAAGGATGACCTTGACCTCTTGATCATCCTGCCTCTACTTTCCAAGTGCTGGTATTGCAGGCTTTGTCACTGCCCAGCTTTCCAGGTTCTTGAAGTTCTTGGCATAATGCATTTTTTATCTTGAGGATATCATAAGGAGACCCAGTCTCAAAAAAGGGGAAAAACAATTCCAGAATACCCTATCATGATACTAAAAACATACGAAATTATGTTCAGGGTATATGTATAAAGATGTTTGTATGTGAAAAATAAGTTAATTATATGCATAAACCTGGGTCTCCACCTCCAGTGTACCTCACTGTGTGTGTATACAGGTATTTCTAAATCTAGAGGGAAAATACCTGAAATTTGAAATACTCTGGTTCCAAACATTTGAGATGAGATTCTCCCTCTGCACATATTTTATCTAAAGATATTTATCTAAAGTATGTTCCTTTTTTCTCTTCTACTAAAATGGCATCTTTAGAATTGCCATCTATAAACAAAATAATTCTTCAGGTACATTTTTTTGTATGGAGACCTGTTGATTCCAGTAGAAATTTAGAAAATGAAGAAGCAAAGACTTCAGCCTCCAGTATAGTGACTGAAGCAGGAAATTGGGTGTAAGGAACCAAAAAATGGGAAAGAATTCAGTAGAGGAATAGTGATTTCATATATAGTACAACGTGATGACCAATGTATGAATTTCTAAAATTGTGTAGGTTAGGTTGAATGTATTATATGTATTGATGCTTTAAAGAATGGAGGAGGGGGAAAAACCTGCCTATCGAATTTCTCCAAGAGTAGAACATTCTTTAGGGGGAACCAGACAAACTTTCATACTCTGTTTAATGTATTGAAGTAATTAAATAGGTTATTTAGGCTAGGTTGTCTTTCTTGTATAATTTTATAAAATGGAGTGACTATTGTTAAAATGCCATTTTAGTGTAGTCTAAATAAAAAGCTTGTGTACTATTAAAGTGCTGTAGAACACATTGTTAGGTATGTATGTAGATTTGATTCCCCCTTGTTTTGCTTTTTCAGAGTGCTGCTGCTACAGCTGCCACCTTGGCGCTCCCCGCAGGTATGACTCCTGTCCAACAGATACTAACAAATTCAGGTAATTGGGAACAGGAGAAGCAACTTTAAATATTGCCCGGAAAATAACACCAGCTAATTCTTAGGTTTTATCATCACAATACTTACTTCTTTTTACCATTTGGTCTAGGTTGTTAAAATAATTTGAGGGATATAATAGAGAAAATGAAAGTGCAACTAGATGTGGTGGCACATGCTAATAATCCCACCAGTTGTCAGATGGAGGTGGGAGGATCAGAAGTTTAAGGTCACCCTCATTTCATACCAAGTTGACGTCCACTGAGACTACATGAGACCTTGTCCAAAAAGCAAGCAAAAAATTATAATGGGTCTTGAATGTTTGTTCAGTGGATGAAAACCCTACTGAGGAAGTAGATTATATACGAATGCTGGTTTATTGAGTTTTTTACTAAGCGTTTGTTTTGCCAAATGAGTTAAATGAGAGAATTAATTCGTGATATTAGATTAGATCCCATAGTACATGAAGAGCAAATTTATTGTGTTCTTTTAGATAGGATCTTTGCATTATTGTTGAATACAAGATTTTTGTTTATTAGCATTTGGAAAACTTACATAGACTTGTCTGTCATCTTTAGTTTTAGTTTTGTTATCTTTAAATTTTTGAGAAAAAAATTAGGGCTTTTGCCTTGCTACATATTTTGTTCGCTTTGCAGATTGTGTGGCATCTAAAGCAACCTATGTGGGAGTATTCTGTAGATTATGTTATGTGTTAACTAGTCATAAAATTAGTACTGTGCAGAAGTACTGACTGGTTCAGCAAACATACACTTTTTGAAAATTTGAAGCAAAACCTTGTGGTTCTTTGGTTTAAGATATAAATGAACCATTTTTTGTGTCTTTAAAGCTTTTAAGAATGTATAACCCTTAAGCTGGGCGTAGTGGTGCATGCCTGTAGTCCCAGCACTTGGGAGGCAGAGGCAGGCGAATCTCTGTGAGTCCAAGGCCAGCCTGGTCTCAAAAAGATCAAAAAAATAAGTAAATTTAAAAAAAAAGAATGCATGACCCTTGAAATACTTGATTTTATTTACTAGTCTTGACTGCTAACGTGAGCAAAAGCAATTAAGTCTTATACTCTGTTTAAACCCTACTGGAAAACAGCTGACTGAAGATAATAGGGAAAAAGAATTCATTGTAAGCCATGTATTTATAAATGTGTGGGAGTGTGCCTGCCCCAGCACACATGTGGCAGGCAGAGGACAGCATTCTGGAGTCAGTTCTTTCCTTCCACCAAGTCAGATCTGCGGATGAACTCAGGTTATCAGACTTGGTTGCAGGTGCCTTTACCCACTGAGCCGCCTCACCAGCCGTGTATTTACATGGAGGGAAAGGAGGAACAGTAATGATTATAGTTTACTATGTATGGTTGATAGCCCCTAGTACATTGGTTAGACTTCTAACTTGACAGCTATGTTCTCATTTATTTTTGTGTCAAATTGCTGCTAAAATAGTAATTTGGACTATATTCTGTCTTGCTTTAGGCCAGCTTCTTCAGGTGGTCAGAGCAGCCAATGGTGCTCAGTATATCTTTCAGCCTCAGCAGTCAGTTGTTCTCCAACAACAGGTTATACCACAGATGCAGCCTGGTGGAGTACAAGCTCCTGTTATACAGCAGGTAAAAGAATTTTAGAATGAGCTTTACAGAATGCCATCCACCCCTGTTTGGATTTATGGATTCCTTGAGTGATTCCCTGCTCTGTTCCTGTGGATTCATTATGTTCATTATGTAGTCAGGCCATGTTCTGAGTTCTTACTGTATGCCTCCAAGCTTAATTTACATTCATGTTTAAAATTGAATTATTACTAGTTTGGTTCTGGATCCTTGATCCCTCTACCAGTTCCTAATAGATGGTTTTGTTTGCCTTAGGTTTTAGCCCCACTTCCTGGAGGGATTTCACCACAGACAGGTGTCATCATCCAGCCGCAGCAAATCTTATTTACAGGAAATAAAACTCAAGTTATACCTACGACAGTGGCAGCACCCACACCCGCACAAGCACAAATAACTGCAACTGGCCAACAGCAACCACAGGCCCAGCCTGCTCAGCAACAAGCTCCATTGGTGTTGCAAGTTGATGGAACTGGGGATACATCTTCTGAAGAAGATGAAGATGAAGAAGAAGACTATGATGATGATGAAGAGGAAGATAAAGAGAAAGATGGAGCTGAAGATGGGCAGGTGGAAGAAGTAGGTTTCTAGTAAAAGACTTGAGAATCCCCTTACCATTTCTGGCCTTATTTGGCATGAAACAGGAATTAAGTGCTATTTCTTCAGAAGCCATTAGGTTCTATGCAACATAGGACTGTTTCTGTTTGTATTAATTTTGAGAGAGTCTCACTATACAGCCTTGGCTGGTCTCAAACTCAGTGTGATTCTCCTGTCTCTGCCTCTGTCTCTGCTGGCATTAAAGGTGTAGGTATGCAATACCACACCCTGCACGACATAAGATTTTAAAGATAAAGTTAGATTGTTCTAGCTTTGGTATAGTTCTTCCATTTATCTTTATAAAATGTAGTTGTTTCCCATAGCTCAGTTTTCTGTCCTAGTTTCCTATCCTGTTGCCCTAATAAAGAACCCTGACAAGAGAAAAGATTTCTTTCACCCACAGTCTAGAGGTGCAGTCCCATCACAACAAGGAAGTCAGGAAGCAGGAGGGATGAGTGCTGGTGCTCAGCTTGGTTTTTCTAGTACTGTCTAGGACCTAAACCCAGAGAATAGTCCCACACCCTTGTGAGTGTGGGCCTTGGCTGCCCAGAAGCTGAGTGACCCCTCATTAGGTGTGCCTGGAAGCTTGTCTTCTAGGTGAATCCAGAGCCTGTCTCTGTGACCATTAACACTGACCATCACAGACTCATAATAAAAATGCATGTCTATCAAATGGAAATTCTACTACTAAGGAGTATGAGGGGTAGTACAAGGAATTGTAGTTCTTGGGCTTAGGTATTTATAATATGGCTTATTATTTGGGGTGTTTTGAGACAGTGTCTCATACTGTAACCCACGCTACAGGTCCGGAATTCATTATGTATGTCTAACACTCATGCCTACATAGATAGGCATAGATAGATTCATCTATAGATGTTAAACTCCTTAGACACATAGAAGACAGCTTGGTCTCAGGGAAACTATAAACTCATTTGAAGAGGAATTTTTAAAATACTTCTTTGTTAAGTAGCCAACAATAGAATGCATATCCAGGCTCAAAAACATAAACCACATTGTACAGGCTACCCCAGACCTGCCTCCCCACCATAGACCCATACTAAGCACATTTTTTTAAAGTTTTTTTAAAAAAATAATTTATTGAGCATTTCATGCATGCATATAAGGTGTTTTGATCAAATCCATACCTACTCCTTCCCCTCCAACTCCTCCCATATCTCCCCATCACTTTTTTCATACACTTTTTTTTTATTTATTGTTTTTATGGGGTTTTTTTCTACTATAACATTCCCCCTCTGAAGAGGTAAACCCTAAAATCTTTTAAGGATTAGATAAGAGCTCCCAAATACTTTAACATTTTTGGCCTTTGGAATGGATTATGTTCCTAAGAAGCCCAAGGACATTGTGAGTTTTAGCTAGGAAACTGGCTGCTTTATACCCAACTGCCTAGCCAATTCCTCCTACCTCCTATTCCTATCACACCATTCTCTGAAGAGGTTACCCACTTCCAGATAGGGAATTGGAACGTAGACTGCTCTGGCTTCTTCCATGCTGAACAGGGATGCAGGGTGAGGCAATCGGGGTACCCCTTCAGTGAGTCTATCTAAAAGACTCCCAAATTATATAACTCTTGTCTGTAGGGGGAAAAGTTAGTCCTTGACTGGTGAATAGGAGATAAGAAGGAGAAGTAAAGGTGAGAGTAATTAACAAGTTCTAGACAGGGAACTAGAAAAAAGAACAGGACAATTTTCAAATGTTCATACAAGAGTACATTGGAATTTCTTGACAAGGGCTTCCAAAAGCATTGCTCTGTTGGGTTCCTCCTCATTTTTCTTTTGTTTGCCAAGGCTGGACTCAAGAGTGATGGATTCAGGATTTGCTTTCAGGCATTTTGGTAGCTGTTGGAGTGGATAGAATCAGTGTCAGTTCCCTCACAAATGCCTCTAGATAGGAGGAGAAAACAAACTTAGCCATCATTTTAAAACAATAGCTGATTGTCTCCCTTAGCTACAGGTGGGCACTACAGTATTGCAGACCAAGATTTGAAGTCTTACATCTGAGCAGCACTTTCTGGTTAGGAACAAACATTTTATAGGGACTTAAGCGTAATGTCTGGGAAGTGTAATCCCTTGAACTCTTTAAAGAAATATACTGATGACTTTACTCTTTGGTTATACTTTCCTTTTGGGTTTTTAAGACCATACAGTTGGTCCAAATAAATCAATTTATTTTTACACTTAAGATTGACGATCTGTTTCTCAGGGGTCACATGGGCTTGGGAGGAGCCCCTGGCTCCTTTCTTTTACCAGTTCCATCTGTGTGAAGATAAGTCAAAGATCCTGCTTGACCATGGCTGGCTTCACTTGGAAGCATGGATGATATGTTTCTTTGTGTGTTCTTTAAATTCACTGAATTCTTTTATCATGTTTATAATTGTTCTTTTGAGTTCCATGTCCTGCATTATCTCTAGGGAGTTCTCATTGTACTCCTCTAGAGGACTATTGGTATTTGTTGGGGATATGTTATTTTGGTTTTTCATGTTATTATTTTTTCTCTGTGATTTTGACATGTGAATTTCTTTTGTAGTTTCTGATTCTTGTGTGAGACTCAAGCCTTCAAGTTTAGGTCTGCTTCTTTTGTGAACTTCATGTTTCTTCGTGGTGAAAAGCTGGTTCCTCTAAGCTTCTGGTTCTCTGTTTTGATTTGATATTGGAGTGGCCAGATTGCTTTTGTCTTCAGGAGTTCCCTCAGAGGCCCAAGTTAGATGAGGATCAGATGCTCTCAGGCTTTCTTCTAAGGTCTGGATCCAGGAAAGATTCTGGCCTCAGGAATTTGGGGGTTGGACTGGCTTGGGAGCCGGGCCCAGGAAAGATGCTGGTCTAGGGCAGCTGGTGGCCATACCACCCAGAGATGCGAAGGCAGATGGGTGTGGGAAGTGGCCCCAAGGGCTCCTGGGAACTGCACTGAGGAGCTGGGTTGGTCTGGATGCAGAGGATCAGGAAAGGATCAGCCCCGGTGTCCAGGAAAGAGGCTGGTGGGTGGTGCAGGCACAGGAAAGTGGAAGAAGGTGAGGGCGGGGCCAGGCCCAGAGTGCTCCTGGGGACCCAAAAAGGCACCGAGTTGGTCTGGATGCAAAGGATCAGGAAGCAGAGGTGGTTCCCCAGCTGTCTGGGGCGCCAAGACAAGGAATGGGACAGGACCCAGGCTAGGAGGAGAGACTAGCGGGGGAGATGGGAAGGTGAATGAGGCTGGGGGAGTCAAGGCGAGGGCACAATGGATGTACCCCAGAGAGAGGCCCGTGGGTCGTGCAGGCCCAGGGAAGCAGAGCAGAAGCTTTTTAGTTTAATGAGGTCCCATTTGTTGATTGCTAACCTTAATTCCTGAGCAACTTCTGTCCAATTTAGAAAATCCTTTTCTGCGCTTGTGTCTTGTAAGTTACTGCAGTATTTTCTTCTAATAGTTTCAGGATTTCCAGTTTCATATTGAGATCTTTATCTATTTGGAGTTGACTTTTGTGCAAGGTGAAAAATTAGGATTTAGTTTTCATTCTTCTACACGGTGGAGATCCAGTTTGTCCAGCACCATTTGTTGAAGATGCTGTTTTTCCTCCATTGTGTTTTCTTGGCACCTTTGTCAAATATCAGGTGGCTGAAATTGTGTGTACTCGGGTGTGGGTCTTCAATTGACCTATGTGTTTATTTTTGTGCCAGTACTGTGCTGCTTTTATGACTATGGCTCTTTAGTATACTTTGAGATCTGGTATACTAATCCCCCCAGCATTGCTCTTTGTGCTCAGAGTTGCTTTGGCTATCCCGGGTCTTTTGTGCTTTCATACGAATTTAAGGATTTTTTTTCGAATTCTGTGAAGTATGTCGTGAGAATTTTGATAGGGATTTAACTGAATCTACATTTCTTTTGGTAGACTGGTCATTTTCACAATATTAAATCTTCTAATACGTGAGCATGGGAGGTCCTTTCATCTCCTGGTGTCCTCAAAATCTTTTAACGGTTGAAATTTTTCATTGTAGAGATCTTTGGTGTCTTTGATTAGATTAATTCCAAGATTTTTTTTTTCAACAATTGTGAATAGGAGCATTTCCCTGTATTCTTTCTCCGTTTGCTTGTTATTGGTATATAGAAAGGCTACTGATTTTTGTAGATTGATTTTATACCCTGCCACCATACTGAAAGTGTTGATCAGTTCTAGGAGTTTTCTGGTGGAATTTTTGGGCTCTCTTAGGTATAGTATCATATCATCTGCAAAAAAAGTGATAGTTTGACCTCTTCTTTTCCAATTAGTAAGCCTTTAATTTCCTTCTCCTGTCTTACTGCTCTAGCAAGAATTTCAAGCTCTATGTTGAAAAGGAGTGGAGATAGTGGACATCCTTGTCTGGTTCCTGATTTCAATGGGAATGCTTCCAGTTTTTCTCCAGTTAGAATGTTGGCCCTGGGTTTGTTGTAATGTATCTTTAATTGTGTTGAGGTATGTTCCCTCCCATCCAATTCCCTCTAGGACTTTGAACATAAATGCATGCTGAATTATGTCAAAAGCTTTTTCTGTATCTATTGAGGTAACAATGTGGCTTTTGTCTTTGAGTCCATTTATATGATTGATGATGTTTATTGACTTGCTTATATTGCACCATCCCTGCTTCTCTGAAATAAAGCCTCCTTAATCATGGTGAATGATCTTTTTGATGTTTGTCTGTATGGGGTTTGCAAGTATTTTGTTGAGAATTTCTGGACCTATGTTCATTAAGGATATACTTTTCTTTTTTGGTTGTGTCTTTACCCGGTTTGGGTATTAGAGTGATGTTGGCTTCATAGAACGTATTTGGGAGTTCTCCCTCTGTTTCTATCGTTTTGAATAATTTAAGTAGTATTGGTTTGAGGTCTTCTTTAAATGTCTGGTAGAATTCTGCTGTAAATCCATCTGGACCTGGGCTTTTTTTAGTTGGGAGGCTTTGTATTACTGTTTCAATTTCCTTATATGTTATGGGTCTGTTTAAACTGTTGATCTCTTC